AATATAAAGGTTATAGTTAGGCTATGTCTTACTCTTTATTCTACTATAACTAGAGCTAATATATTATAAAGAACTTTCTTATCTTCTAAAAGGTAAGAGTTAATGTTTTATAGATTCTTACTAAACTTATCCTTTTTTTTTATATATTTAGTGTTCTTTGTTGTAATGGTTAGCTGCTTCACACTTATAGTCCTTTACTAAGTAGTGTAATGTTAGATAGTCTTCTTTTTTTACTACTTTTTATTAGAAATAATAAAACTTATAGTTATTTTTATTTTTATAGTCTAGCTACTTTTCTTATTTATAAAAGAGGGCAGTCTAGCAGGTGTAGCAGTTTGTAGTTTTACAGGCTAAGGCTATTCCTTACTATAAGTATCTATTATAACTCTTTTCTTATGTAGGCTACTAGCCTGCTTAATGCTTATTGTTCTAGTGTCTAGTGCAATACTGTTGCGTACACTAGTACTAAGGGTATAGACAATTATTAAGTCTGTGTAGAGTGTTAAGAGGACTCTTTTAAGTCTACTAAGAGTATTCTTAGGTCTGTGCTACCTGTACAGGGTGTCTCTTCTATTAGCAATTATTAGTGCTATAGGTGTTGCTTCTGTAGAGCATACACTGCCTGTAGTTCTGTTACATAGTAAGCGCTTTCTTACTAATTGCTAGGCCTAGAAGCAGTGTCTTAGGTTTTCTAGGTACTAGCTTTAGAACTTTAAACCTAGTAGGTCTACCTAGTCCTTCTAGCTTTTAGTTGCAGATTCTAATAAAAAACTGCTATTATTTTTATTTATTTATAATATTATATTTAACTTTAGCTATCTGCTGTATTATATTAAATGTAAAGTAATTATTACTAATATTTATTTAATAAAGCATAACTATGCATTTATTAAAGTAGTTATATTATAGACTGCACTTCTAGCATTTGCACTTCTAGAACTGTCTAGAGAGCTCTCTTACTAAAGTGCTAAAGGTCTAATTATAAAGAGGAAACTATTCTTTTTTTTTTAATGTTTATAATATATCTTTAGATCTAAGTCTCTTCTTTATACTTTTTAAAGATTATAAGGTCCTGCAACACTTTATCTAAGCTGCTATAGTTTTAAATAACTACTTTTTAATACGCTTTAGAGTAGTTTTTTAAAAAGTTGTTGTTTTTATATTACTAGTAAAGTCTATTGTCTAATTTTTTTAATATTTTCTTTTTTATAAGGCTATATTTAGCGGTAATAGCTTTTACTATTACGGTAGTATTTTTATTCTCCCCCTTTTAAAAGTATAAGTAATTTTAGTAAAAATGTCCTACTTTTTTACAGTTTAAGTAGGCTTTGTCCTCTAACTACTTTTATTATTTCTTAGTTAAGAGCAGCTTATTATGTCCTAGAACTTAGTTTTTTTTTAAGAAGAGGCTTTATATATGCTTTACATAACTATGATCTATTAGTTTTTTATTATACTAAAGAGACTTTTTTTTTCTAAGAATAAACTCTAGTTTCTAAGAAGTTCTTTTTTACTTTTTTTCTTTTTTACACTTTTTATAATAATTATTATAGGTTGTTGCTTATATAATAAAAGTTTTAAAAGTAGTTAGTTTATTATTATACATAAATTTATCTTTAATTATATTACTTAGCCTATTATAGAACATGCAGTAGAGAGCTTTTTAGTCTATTTATCTACAGATAGCTAGCTGTTCTCTAAAGCGTGCTGCATAGTTCTAGGCTATGCCTTATTCTTATTTTAAAGTGTCTAACTTATTAGCTGTAATTTTCTATTTATTTATAGTCCTGTAAATAGCTATTAAAGCGTCTTTAAAGGCTTTAACACTACTAAACACTTGTTCTATTTTAGAGGTAAGTGTTATGCTATTAGCTCTAAAGTTTATCTAATTATCTATGTGTAGCTAGAACTAAATTATAAAAAAGCCTTTTAAGTGTAATCTTATCTAAGATATTATTTCTATATTAGTTTAAAATGCTTCTTTATTATATTATATATAAAAGTAGCATTTAGTAAAAAAAAAAGCAGAAGTCCTTTAGTAATTTTTTAAAAAGCTTTAAAAGGGCTAGTCTTAAAGTCTTTTTAGCTATAATACTTATTCTCTTAGTTGAGATATTCTAGAGTTTAGCTAGCTCTACTTATAGTGCGTGTATCTAATCCGCAGAGCTAGTAGCTTGCTAGAGATTTATAAGTAATAAAAAGTTATTAAATTCTACTACTTTTTAGTAAAAGTTCTTAACCTCTTTTTAAAAGTTTACTAGTTTATTTATTTTATTACTAATCTACTAAAGTTTTTTAATGTTATCTTAGATTATATTAATCTATTCTGCTAAGATAGGTTTACTTTAAGTAGAAACTTCTATAAATCCTAACAAAGCTACATAGGCTATGTTAGAGTCTAAGTTATGTTAAGTAGTTATACTTTTTAAAAGGGGTAGTGTTTAATGTTATAATCCTTGCTTTATAGAAGCACTTAGGTTAATAGTACTTCTAAGGGAAGAGAGTAGGTTAATAAGAGAGGCTAATAGCAGGGTGTACAGTCCTATGTAAAGGCTATTAGGCTAGTAGAGGGGAAGTAGAGTAACTAGATTATAGTTTACCCTATGTGCAGCAGTATAGTGGCTAGGTTAAACAGTTCTGTTAGACAGGGTTAGAGGTATATATAGTGTAGATATACAAATAGTATTACAGCTCTTTAAAAAGCTAAATGCTACTTAGTTTATGTAAAGAATAAACTAAACATTAAACACACTTTCTAAAGGTTATTTAAAGTCTAAACTATATACATGCCTAAAGAGTGCTAAAAACAAGTAGAATAAGTCTATACAAGCCTGCTAAGCACAGCTTTATAAGCTTACTTAGACTTAACAGATTTGTAGCCTGCCTTCTTATTAGATAATGCACTCTTCTATTACTGCAGGTAGCTGCGCCGCTTCTATATCCTCTGTGTCCTCTAACTAGTTTATAAGCGAGCCCTGTTCTAACCTGGCTAGGCTGTAGAGCACCACGGGTGGAGTTACGTCGGTCCAACTATAGACTGTAACAGTTTTAGTCTAGTTTTTTTTTTAGTAATAGAAAATTTTTATTAAAAGGTTGTACTTTATTATATTTTGTCTAAATTAGTTTTAAATTAGTTCTAAATATTTTTTATATACTATAGATAAAAACTATTAGCTTATAAAAAAAGAAGTAGTGTAATAATTCTATAAATTATTTTATCTTAGGTTGCTTAGATCCTATCTAAAGGGTCTCTATATTAGCTCTAACTATAACTTAATCCTGTTCTCTATAGCTACTTTTATTCTCTTATGTATTTAGTTGCACCTCTTCTCTTAGCTAGCTTAGTAGTTTTCTAATATCCTTTTGTACAAGGCCTATAGGTGTTAATAGCATTCCTAGGTTTAGAGTCCCCACGCACTCCCATATGCCTCTAAGTGGATTCCCACCGCATTCGGACCTATTGTCTTGCCTGTGCTGTTACAGTCTACTTACAAGAGTCTAGCTAAGAAACTGCTAGGTTAGACTAGCCTTTTACTAAATATTAAACAAAGTCTAATATGTAGGCCTAGGTAAACATAGGCAATTACTAAATTAATATAGCTAATAGTTTATGTTACTATAAAAGTATTTTATTTTAACTAAAAGAGTATAATGTCTCTTTAAAAAATAGATTTATTGTTATACTAGGTTTCTACTATTTAAAGTGCAACATTACACTTCTTCTGCTAGCTACACTACTACTAAAGCCTCTAAGTGTAGTTTTTGCTCTAAGAATAGGCACACTCTCTACCTTTATACTTATTACTCTTAATAAGTAGGCTAGAATCTAGGTAAAGAGACACTACAGTAACTCTATATGTTAAGCACCTCTGCCTTTATTTATATATATAAGGACATGCTTATAATAGAAGCTGTTATAATACTAAGATTTATCTTACTTTATGCACTAGTGTTATAGCTTTTTTTTATAATAAACTAAACACATGTTTGTAGACACTACTATGCCTAAAAGTATATTATAAAGTGCTTTAGCAGTAGTCTTAAAATGTTTCTAACTAAATATAAATAAAACATGCTTATATATTTTATTAACTATAAGATTTACTCTAATAGTATACTTAAGTGCAATTTTAGTTAAAGTACAGTAATTAATATAGAATTAAATGCATTAATTTATTCTTACCCGAAGCTAGGCAACAAAAGTAATAGAGAGATAGTAGATTGTGTTAAAGTTAGAAGAAGGTGGATTTTCCTATACAAATCTAGGCCCCTAATCTACTAAAAATTACACAGGCGACTAGACCCTCCTGCGGAGGACACCTCACGACACGTGACCCGTGACTCGGGCCAAGACAGGGGGGCTGGCTACTACTAGACTAACGCTAAATGTCCCAGGGAAGCGGAGACAGATGCCGCAATCAGGCTAGCGAGAAGACGGACAGCCTACAGCACCCTTCTAATCGCATGCTGCACTCCCCACGTATCCTGCAGTCGCACAAATACTTCAAATACTACGTTATTGTATCGCGAGACGTCATCACAAGAGACAGTGGAATCATTCATGCGCGCTAATACTTCGCTAATGCTTTAATTGCATATGTAGAGAGAGCTTATTTCTTTAACCATTATTTACGAGACTACCGCAAGCATCCGCAGATTAATGCGATAGTCCTAGTTGGGTAAATATAGGTGCCGATGGCGTGCTTACTGCATCACTAATAAATGAAGGAAGGTTTAATGTCGTTTACATGAAATATATACAGATGTTGTCGAATACTTGCGCAAGCTGTCCCACGTGTATCACGCGATATGATACCCATGGACTTCACTATTCACTTATCAGGACTAGCTCCTTTCTCGTACAGTATATAGTCAGCCCAGAGCTCTCTCTCGCTCCTTAGACCTTACAATACACTTGTACAATCCACTTTGTTTAGATCTCAATACCTTGTCAACTCGCTTACCATATGAACCCTTCTCAGCTCATACAAGACAAGCACCTAATTACGCTGCGCTCTATCTATGAGCCAACCTCCGTTTTGCTGCCGTTGGAAAACTCCCGCAGGGTCATACTTACGACTGATTGATATGAGCTTTCGTAAATTTCCTTCACCGTAGCTTGACAACGCATCTTGCTCGCTATAAGCATCATTTGCGAACCGATACCTCAAATGGGACCCATGTCGAGTGGCAGCTGCCAAGATTTCCTTCCCAAGCTCTTGCAACATTTTTATCGCTGTCGAATCGTCCTCTGCTAATTCCCACTGAAGGGTGACGTGAACCCCTTGAAGGGAGTATATGTCAGCTAATTTCGGAATAGAACTACACAAGTGTGTAATAGTAGGTGATATACTCACAATCCTGTTCAACATTTGTCAAGTTTAGAGGTGTATTTGACGACTCGTGAACGGCTAGTTTCGATATTGGCTGAGACCCATAGTTCATATGCCATCCCAAATCAGCGGCTTGTTTCGCATACTTCGTGAATGTAGCATAGCTATCATTGTAGGTGGCTTCATCTAGCTTGTGCGGTAGTGAAACCACATAGTCTCTTTGCATAACGTTAGCTTTAGAAAACATTTTAAGGCTTTAGAACAAATTCTGAGTTAAATTGGCGCTGTATACCTTGATGGTGGGATCCCTGGCTCGGGATATTGCGGTGCATAGTAATTGGAGGCCAAGTCTGAGAGGGTACCAGTCGTGGAATTGATCATGGTTGCGGCATGGGTGATGTTGTAGAAAGGACTGAAAATCGAAGGCCATTCAACTGGATCCAGGTACAAGAATCCGACAAAGGATTGTGGGGCCCCCGTTTCCTCCGATAATTGGTATACAATATTGGCCTTTGAGTCTCTTGTAGACGTCATTTCGTAATCGAAGAGTGCATGAAGTAGCGCTCGATTCTGTTCTGCCGAGTACCATCTTGTGGCAAACCAGACTTTGTCAATCGGTATTGTTTTGTAAGTGAACGAAGTCACAATTCCATAATTGGGACCTCCCCCTTTCAATGCCCAAAGAAGTTCGCGGTTGTGTTCTTCATCGGCCTGTATTACGGATGAATCGGCCAGTACAACTTCCGCGGCCACGACTGAGGCTGCAGTGACACCGACAAGGTTGGTGAGCCATCCAATGCCTCCACCAAGCGTCTGACCACCCACGGATGGGTTAGGCGATCTTCCCCCGTTCACAGAAACACCAGTGCCATCTAAATAATTGTAGACGGTGCCCCAACGGTTGCCCACTCCGACCGTAACAAGTCTTTTGTCGGCCGCGAGCGATATGTTCGTGAATCTGGTCATATCCAGAATGATTCCATTTGGGCCAACACTGCTGAAGTTTCTGTTGAAGTTGTGTCCTCCACCTCTGACGGAAAATGTGGCATTCGTAGAAGCGATGATGCTCATCATTTCGGCCAACTCCTCGGTGCTCGCCGGAGAGACAATGCAGGAAGCATTTTGCCAGCAGTTACTTGACCTAAGGGCAAAAGTTAGCCTTTGTTTTAGATTGCGTTACGCTGAATTGGCGTACCAGTAGGCTTCGACACGGTCAGAATACAGCGACGATCGTGGGTCAACGTATCCTTCGAGCGAACTGGAATTTACTGTTGTGCCAGCCAAATATTCACGGGCAAGTTTGCATGCCTGTCGCGATCGTGACACCTCCTCATCGCTAACGCTAGACGCAAAACTAACACAGTTCGAGGTAGAAAGGAGAATAGCGAAAAGTAGAAATATCGCCATTGCAAGGCACGCCTAGACTGAAACCGCTTCTGGGCTTTTACTTCGGCAAGGACCATGGCTATATACCAAAAATTGAGAATAAGGTGAGGCAACGAGGCAACGAGGCACAGCGGCACTCCAAGGAAAGAGCCCGCCCCCATTTTCCGCGGATGGCAGATGTCTGAACATGGGTATGGAAACGGGGTCATCAAGTAATCTTCGGAGTTCGCTTCTGCGCTTCGTCAATCTACCTTTGCTGCATTCTAGTTTATTCTTCGGTTGGAGAGTTAATAAGTCTCTTTTGATTAAAAATACTTAGAAAAAGTACTGCACTTGGTTGGAAGCATGGAATATCAAGAAGCAAAAATTCACTACACGCTATACACCTAGAATCTCGTTCTCTATCGCGCCGGTGTCTCTAATGTACACGACCCTGGCGCTTCCGGTGAATGACTCATCAAGCATCTTTTCTCTATGGTTCGAAGTCCCCTCTTAGATTTGAACGGCCAATGGAATGAGTCAGCTCAAAAGCATCAGTACTCTCCAATCCACTAGTCTGGACTCCACTTTTCTGTTTGCTCAACCGGGAAACTTGGGAGATTCCTGTCGTCATTCGAATGCCATTCTTCTGACGAGAGTCTGCTAGACGACCGTAACTACCGGTGGTGGTCGACTTTGGTATCGGCTTCCTCAATCGCTTGAAAAGCCCGGGAAGCATTGGCAGACATCCGCATATCACCACGCAAGCCGGTTCTATAACAGTAAACAGAAACCCGTTAACAGATGTGTCTAGTAATCCCGTAAATATTAGCCTGTACCTCTTGTTGGACCGTTGTTAACGTTCGACGTACATGTGAGATCTAATTCAGCACCAGTATTCGCTCCTTTGAGGAGTGGAATACGCACTATGCTTATCGCGGTAGCCCTGACGCCTATTAGTGACTGTTGGTTTTGGTAATCAAAATTACTCACAATCCACCCGTCAGGAACACTAGACTCAGAGCGAGCTTCTTGGATAGTGACAGCTGCAATTTCCATATTGCTGGTTGTGGCAAAGCTAGTATGCCTATGTCCGAAATCGCATTGAGAACACCAGTAGATACGCTCGTAGCAAAACTGACGTGGCACTGAGATGGGATGCCCCAATTGCTGCTAAATGGCCTGCACTGAAAGAAAACTAAAAATATCAATGATATCCACCATAAGATCGTGTACACTGTGAAGAAATATACACCAATTTGTATAGTGCGGTTACTCATGGTAAAAATCCGGGCGAAAAGTGAGAGCACCGACAACTTAGCCAGAGCGATGCTCCAAGGGTAGCACACCGACATCGCCAACGTAGCCTGGTCTTTGTTAATATAGAGGCAAAGAGTCCGGCTAGTATGGCTAAGCTAGGCTATACGTACCTTTCCTATCACGATGAAGTGTTTGGGTGTTTGCGCGACATATAATATATGTCTACCAATGCCGTAATACGCACCTGCATTATTTGGTTAGTATTTTTTCATCACGCTGCGCTGAACGTACCGTAACATGCCGATATAGTAACTCCTATCAACGCAACTGTTGCTCCAATCGAAAGGTAGTCGTCCAAAGCTAGTTTCGAGTTGCCAACTCTTCTGGCAGTGATACGAAGGATCAAGGAGAGTATAACTACTCCCAAAAATACTAAGGAAACTGCTATAACGAGGACACTGCGGTCTTCGCTGATATGTGCTGTCTGGTATGCGATTTCCTCCGGGGGAAAATTGTCCATCTCGGATATTGATGCCTATGCGAAGTATCAAGTCTCTATGAGATAGGGTGAGCTGAGAAGGGAGTAGTCTGCGATGTTTGTTGAGCCCACGGGTAGTCCTTGATATGCCCGAAAGGCAAAATAGAAGTCCGTCGCCCGGACCGGCAAGTAATTGATAAATCCAGACTTTAGTGGGAAAAGGAAGTCTTCGGTTTAAAGCGAAATCTGTTTCGTTGACATGAAGTCTCCAACGCTCGAAGATCATGGTCTGGTACCTCTCCATGTATCGTTTTCCGATTTGCCTCGCCGCGCGCAGAGCAATTGGTTTCCAAGTTTTAATCTATTTCACGCCAGCTTATCAATTTTGAAGTCCGAAAGGATCGACTGGCCTGTTCGTGTCCGCGTGAGTTCAGATGCAGACGCCAGAATATCGCATCATTATGTGGCGAGTCACCTCAAAACTGAGGCGAAGCGATTGCAGGCAAAGTCATGCACCAGCGGGGCAAACATAGTTCGGACTCCGATGGTATGTACTGTGCCGCAAAGGCTAAATGAACGCTTGTAGCGAGAAGATCACTGGATGCGACACTGGACTATTGACCTTTCGGTCAGGTTGCATATGTCTCATTTGCCTCTGTCGGGATCGTCTCGCTGAAAACCGGTGTCCTCCCCGCTGCCGAACCCAGTATCGAAGAACCTAGATGATCATCTAACAGTTGCCTCTTCCGACCATCTTAGGTATCATTTGCCGCTTCCAGATTTCCAGATAGTCAGGGGTGACAGTCTATACCGGCCCGGCGTTTACTATATTGTAAAATAGCTGACGAATGTATAATGTCAGACTGGAGCCCAGCGGGTACCAAATTTGATCTCGAATTTTCAGCCCTCTGCGTCCAATTCTGAGTTCGCAACTGCATACAGCGTGTCGCACACCGGCTACTAGATAACAAGAAGGAATTAAATGGGTTATTTGCAGAACTTCGCTGCATTGCTTTTGGGTTCCGCCGTTCTCCACGCAGTGATAATACTGCTTTCATTTCGCCCCAGGGTTAACGCACCAAGAGTAGGAAAGCGCCCAGGCCTTCTAGGGCTCTGGCGAGCGCGAGCACACTTTTACAACAACGGCAAGGCTCTGACGAAGGAAGGTTATGATCGATACAAAAGCTCAGTGTACTGGATACAAACTGGAGACATGGAGCGATTGGTGATCTCAAACCGTTATATCGACGAGTTAAGAAAATATCCAAGCTCCTATTTGGACAGCAAGATGGCAGTGGTGGAAAGAAACCTTGGGTGGTACAACGGGGTGGATATTATCTTGAAAAGCACAGCACATGTCGATGTCTGTCATACTCAGTTGGTCCAAAATCTTGGTACATTGATGCCTACAAATTTACACGATTCGATATACTCACTATGGTAGCCGAAGTCACTCAAAACCAGCTAGACATCTTGCCGAGAGTGTTCGAATCTGAATTAGAAGCTTGCTTTCGAGACAGAGGTGAGTTCCTTACAGCTTGCTCCATCCGCAATAATATTAAACCAATTTAGATATAATCCACTTTTACAACGCTACGGGATTGATTCTGGACATGGTCAATCGGGTTACCGCAAAGATCCTCGTTGGTGAACCACTTTGCTATGATGCGAAGTGGCTTCAAACGAGCTTAGAGACAACAGTTAATACTGGACTATTGTGTCGTTACTTACAACGATATCCTGCTTTTCTGAGACCTTTCATGAACTACTTTGCACCAGCACGCATGAACCTCGATCGCAACCACTCTGTTGCTCAAAATCTGCTCTCAAAACGCATCAAGGGCCGAAACCGGGGCGACAAGAATAAGGATATCCTCCAGTGGTTGATGGATACCTACGAAGAAAAGGGTCCTGAAATCAGCTTCTTGACCAATCAAATACAATTCGTCGCGACTGCAGCAGTCCGCTCTACAGCCGCATCATTGCTTAACACGATGTATGATTTGTTATCCTTCCCACAATACCAAACATTGCTACGCCAAGAGATACGGGAAGCGATAGCAGAGCATGGAGGGTGGAGCTTAGCTGCTGTTGAAAATATGAAAAGACTTGATAGTTTTATCAAGGAGTCTCAAAGAATGAATCACCATATCCTTTGTAAGTTCAAACACTGCTGTTAGTGTGGCACCTAACTCACTCCCATAGTGTCTTTCAACCGTAAAGTGCAACGTACGATCAAATTACATGACGGTACGACCTTGCATCCCGGGACATTCATCTCCACCCCAGCCTATTGGGGAGCTATGGATCCGGCGATCTTTCCAAATGCCGACGAATTCCAGCCCTGGCGCTGGTTTGAGCTCCGTTCACAAGCAGAAAGAGAAAACAAGAATACTGTACCATATCTCGCGAGTAGTATAAGCTTAGAAAACCTATTTTGGGGTTATGGGCGCAACGCATGTCCTGGGCGCTTCATGGCTGCTGCAGAAATCAAACTCCTAGTAGCATGGATGTTACATCACTTCGATATAACCTTTCCCGAAGGTCAGGACTCGAGACCGGAAAGCCTATTTGTGGATGAGCGTGTAGTACCAGATCCTAATCAAGATATCGGGTTTCAGCTTCGTCAAGACAACGATAAAACTTATTGATGATTGAACCTTTTGTTGGATTGTGTTTTAAAGGTTACTCAGGTATTAAGAGCACGGGAACGGAAGATTTTGATTATGATTTCAATCTCACTGTGGAAGCTCGTCCAATAATCTAGTCTTCACAGTCCTAAGACCATAAAACCTCCATATATATATGTAAGCTACTCTAACTGACCCACTTAGGCTGTCTCTTCCGTAATTTGAATTCGATTTCCGCATATGGGTTTGGGAAAACGTATTCGTGCAAGCAAATATTCGGAGGCCTAGACGGCTGTTCCTTTGGAAATCGGATATCGTACCTGAGCAAAACATTGGATAAGATCATCTTGATAGAATTTCCAGCCAGAAATCGGCCAGGACAAGAGTACTTCCCATGCCCAAAATGTAGGTTATTCTGATTAGTTGTTGCAAACTGATGTCTGTTGCTTTCTCCAGGTTTTTGTCGGCTATGGTAGTGTCGCAATCCGTCAAATCTCATGGGGTCCGGAGTTATCTCAGGGTCGACAACTATTGGGTAAACCGGCATCATGAGATGAGTGCCTTTGGGAAGGTACGTTCCATCAGAGAGCGTCACTGGCTGCCGTACAGCACGCTTGAAACCAACTACAGACATAGGTTAGCGCGTAAACCTTATAGTAAGATAGTGTTGATAGCAGAACCCCCTTACTTACGCAAACTAGGGGGATTCAACCGCTGTGATTCTCGCATGAAGCTATCCATCTTTTTAAACAATGTCAGAGCTTGCTTTTTGTACCCGCCTTCTTGCTCCAGCACATCCATCAGCTCCTGTCTCAAAGGCTCTATGTACTCGGGATGCACACAAAGATCAAACAATGCCTGAGTGGCAGCCATGGACGTAGTATGTACAGCCGCCAAGGTTAGGATCAGAAGCCGATGAGCGATCTTATCCGGTTGGCTATCGAATTTGTTCGCTCCATCCATCATGTATTGTAAAAAGTCTTCAGGTTTTGCATAATTGGGGTCTGACTGCTCTCGGCGCCGCCGTTCTAGAATCAGCGGGACGATGATCCTTTTCGCTTTTCGAAGTGCCCAAGTAACACGGTATGCGTGGGGGATGAAGAGCGATACCAGAGGCTTGATCGAATCGGGGAAGATTCGTAGACATATAATAGTGATGAATGTGTTTTCAGTGTAGGTAAGTGCAGTTGAAAGCCATTCCTCATCTTCGCACAGCGGAGCACCCACGAAGTGCCGAGCCGCAATGAACGAGATTAAGCGATGTACGAGATCGAAACCCTTGACCTTCGTAAATTGATCTTTGAATACGTTAGAGCAGAGCTGCCCAGGTGGTTGAGATTAACTAACGTTGCGTAGCTGGGATTTCAATCGGAATGCGTCTTTGTAGAAGCTCCTGAACAATAGGGACATGATGACGCAGTCTAGGCGTTAAACGGGACTGTATAGTGCGGGTATGTAAGTTGCCTTCGAGCAATATAGAGGTAGTTGAGTAGAGTCCCTCAAAATTCTGTTCAAATTAGTAGATTAATACGCATATCCTAAACGGCTAGAATAGCAGACCTGACCTACATCTATATTGGCTTGAATCGAGCTAACAATTTCATCGGGCATATTCCTAAGCTCCGAAACATACCGATTAGGCACTACAAGAATATCCTCGCCAGAGAGCTTGAACATGGAATGTTTGTACTAGCTTTCTATTAGCAGATGCAGCGCCACGTTCCCTAAGAGTTATGGACTTTCGTGTAGCCTTCCTGGATGAGGCCTGACGCATTCCTGAAGAATCGCCATCTTGCTCTAATTGTATCCTTTGGGCCAATTACTGGAGCCCGGACTCGGGCATTTCCTTCCTTGCCAGACAGTGCTATCCAGCTCAGGGTCAAAATAAAGAAGGTGGCAGCAGTTATAAGGCCTGGAGTAACAGCAAATTCCCTAACGGTCGACATGAAGTTGAACATATTCTGCTATGAGAGGCAAGGTTTTTTGGTTGAAACGATCGTGCTGGAATGGGAGAATGAAAGCTATTGCACTATGTTACACAGAAACGCATGCTTTTCCTCTTACCAAATGGCTTATCTGAGACAACAAATTTAAACTAACCGATAGCTTACAAACCCCTGTATGCATCATGCACGGCAATATAGGCAAATACTGGGTTTCTTGAGGCATCCAATTTAGTCATATTCTAAATCAAGGCTTACTTGTATTGACATGTTGAGCTGTGTCACACACTTGCATATGCTCCGCATAACACCACATCTTGAACCCCGGTCCAGATTGTGACAATCTTAATTGCGGCAAAGCACGGCTCGGACTCGGTTATCCCCGACA